TTTCAATTACGTGATATTTTTCACTATGTTTATTTCTTTCTGAGAGAAACAAGATTAATCCATTGTAATGAACTCTATTAATAGTTCCCATTTTCCTCTTTATTTTATTCCCATTCTTTTTTTGTAACAGAAATTACACACAGTATTGCATCGGATCAATACAAATTGCTGATGTTTTCTTCTGGGCTTTGTTCCATTCTTTTCTCCTAGCTCTTGATTTTCTCACATCAAAATAGAAAAATAAAGAAGGAGGGAACCGCTTTGAAATAAAGCAATTTGGCCAGGAGCAGTGAAATGAAGGTGTTTCCTAACCACGTGGGTTTAATGGCTGCCCACTGCAGTTCTTTGGGCAAGGACCTGCCCAAGCAAAGATGTGAAGAATAAACCCCTCCTGGGCCCTTCCCTTTGTAATGGTTTTACATCCAAGAATTTGTCACTTTGTCCCCAAAGTTATAATTGTTCTTTGCAAAAATTTTATTTGAATTAATGAATTGAGCTTCCTGATCTCTCATAATAAAATAACTGGTTGAAAGGACACAAAGAAACAATAAGAATCTTGTTTTTTGTTTGAAAATCAAGCTTACAGCAGTATCTGAGAATGGCAATGCGGCACATAGACCTGCAAGGAATTTCACTCTTACTGGGTCACCAGTCGTTCCCTCAGCAGGAAACAGCCTCAGGATCCACAATGGAAGAAAATTACAGAAATTTTGTAAAAGATTTAGGACACAAAAGCAAACTATGCAGAAAATAAGCTATATAAAAAGGGGTCAAACATCTATTACTTAGCCTGGAGGAAAAAAGGGAAAATAAATTTGTAATTACTGAGGAAGTGGGAGGTTTTACACAGAGTATGATTATTAGCTATTTTCCATTGCCCGGTGGGCGGAAAAAGAAGGAACGAGGCTTTGACCGTGACATAGGAAGTGGGTGGGACGTGAGTCTGGTTAAAGCCATGGAAGATCATGCGGACACAGAATTCACTTTCAGGAGGTTGTGACACACGCTAGTATCCAGCTGGCTGAGTGAGTTGGTTCTGTGCATGTCTGAAGGAGGAGACAGGCTCTGTACCTTCCATCCCAGTGAGGTCAGAAAGTGAGGAGCTGAGAGTGCGGGTCAAACACTTAAATCATAAAATCATACGTGAGCTGCGAGCTTACCAGAGTTTCCTAAAAGCAAATGAAAATAGGTTGCTCTTTATTCTTCTTTTGCTTCTTCATAGCTCCTTCTTCTAAAGAAAACCTAAAAAGCACAACTTCTCCTATGTCAGAACTTGTCTAACAAGCAACAGAATCCATCCTCTTTGGAACGTCTTAGGCTGAGAACCAAATGTGGAGACATTGACTCCTAGGGTTTTTTCCGCCTTCTGGCAAGAAAAATGTCCAAGATATTGCATGTCCCTCCCTATCAAAAGTTTTCCCCTCAAATGAGGACAATTTAATGGCTCCTACTGTTCAATCAAGCGATGATGTTGACAAGCAGAGGCATGAAACTGCACAAGGAGAAACTGCTGGTAAATGAAACCAGTGAAGGCATGGCAGACGCTGAGGAATGATTTCATTCTTGGGCCTTAAACACCTAATCACAGGCCTGGTAAGGCAGAAGCAGAAGATTCCTACGTTAAAGACCCTCCCCTAAGGGGAAGGACCTACCAGGCCCAAATCAGTAGGGGCATCTAGGACGTCTAGTGAGCAGTAACACGCCCTCACGGGCCCTTCTCGGGCAGCACGGTGAGAGCAGTGTGGTGACGGGATTCAGCAGCAGCTGGAGTCAGCATGTGCAAAGAAATACCTGCTTTGAATCAGGTTAAAGATCATATTTGTTCTTAATTTTCTCAGTAATAAAGAAACGCAGAAATGGATTGTCTACAAAACAGTGATAATTATATCAAGATATAATTAAGTCATTTTTAGGTGATATCTTTCAAAATATAATCTTAGCAGTTTCAATGATTTTTCCTCCTTTAAAAGTTCTATACATTTTAAGACTAGACTGAGTTTAATTTTGCTCTTTTTTCCTCTGTAGACTAAATTATCTATGCTCAAACAATGAATTCAATGAATTTCTTTTAGCTCCTACTAGGTATGCCAAAGGTATATTTTGAGTTTATACCCAGGGATCTAATGTACTATTACAAAATAATGCATCTTGTGACTCAGCTTTATTTTCCCTGCGTGATAACCAAACTGTGCTGTGTTTAATATGCGAATTGAGTAAACAAGTTTAGGCAGCCGACAGGTAGTGGATGGCACTATAACATGGGGCCAAGTTTGTTTGTGCTAGTACATGTCCAAACCAGAGGAGCATTGAATTGTTACAAAACGTATACTCTAAATTCAGATTTCAGAGATCCTTTGTTCCATCCACATGCTCTCTCACTTACCTACTTTTCGAAGAATAGCATTAAGAGTTCTAACCAGTGAAGAGATGAACATAAACCCCAATTCCTTTTATTAAACAATTCATTCCTAGTGGTTTATATGAACAACTTTGTAAGGCTACAGTAACACTATTCAATCCTGGTTTTGTTTATACATTTGTATGTGAAGACTGACTGTGCTGGCTGCCTTCTTTACTGCACCAGATCCTGGCAGCCCCACCTTTGGAACTAACTGCAGCAATAACTATGCTGTCCTGATTCAATGGCCCCGATGACACAACATTCACTTCATCTGTACCTTAAGACTTGTGACAGTTGTCTCAACCCTCTCCTCAAATGATTTGAAAGTAGGAGAATTCCTAAAATAACAAAAAAAGAGAGGTCAGCTCCAAAGACCTACCTGTCTTGGTAACTATGTTGTCTGATTTCTGCTCTTGTGAACATCGCTTCTGCACCAGAACTGGCTGTCGGTGTGTCGTCTACACAAACTATGTTTTAACACATATTTCTCTTCTGCTAGGTTAGACCCAGAAATCATAACTTGACATGGAATTTTTCTAAGTAAAATAGTCAGATACTCAACTGTAGAATAACAGAGCATTTGGCAATGGTACAAATGTAATAATTCCGTTGTGCACCATGAGTCATCAATGCGTCAAAAGAGTGACAGCTTAATTTTTCATTTACTAATTGTTTCTATCACAACAATCTTTTCTCCAACTCTCTCTCTCTCTCTTTTTTTTCTTGGTAAGCACACAAAGTCTATCTAAAGAATGTCATGTTTGAGTTTTCCCTTTTGGAATTTTGAAGTTATTTATTTCAGTAAATGTGAGACAAGTAGTGTTTCTGAAAGTCAATGCTTTGATTATTTTAAGTTGAAATATTACTTGGGGGCATGCAGGAGGCAACTGATCTATGTCTATCCCTCTCCCTTCCTCTCTCTCTAAAATATATAAAAACATTTTTTAAAATGGTGTTATTAGCACGTGGCATTTTTCCTCCTGAAGAAGATATACCTATTTTTTCTCTTACCAGAGAGAACCTTCACAGTCTATTGACATTTTATTTGTGACTCATCACTGTGTTAAATAATCTCTATACCATTTGTACCTATAAGCGTTAAATACTTCACTTGGTGCTTTTTGGTTTCCTATACTGGATTTGGCCACATGACATGATTTAATGATATTACCACTAAAATTGATATTACCAAGTGCAACTAAGGAAACAACAACTGAACTAGAAATGTATCTTAAATCTTATATCCATGTCAGCTTTCAGCAACAAGGATTGCCATTATTTTCAGATCAAATAATTCGGTTTGATAAGCCACTTATGATTCTCTCTTGAGTGCAGAAGAAATAAAGTAAGAGGCATGGCCTGGAGAAACTTCAGAAAGGAGAATGGCTATAAAATATAGGCTTCATTGTATGGTGTGGGATGAAGCATGGCTCTAATGCTACCAAGAGGAAAATAATGTAGAGGACAGGTTTTTGAGCGAATTTGGCCTTGTTAGGCATTGTCTCCCAAGCCTCTGACGCTCCAGATGATCAGAAACGCATCTGCACTCTGGCTGCATGAATTCACAATGGGGAGATCAGGGGGCCCCAGCATGGCAACACATCTTGCATTTGATTCGAACTTGAATCAGATGCTTATGAGGAATCCTCCCTCAGCCCTCCGTTTCATGAGGAAGTATTAGTAAAATTATACTTGAATGACTGAAAAGTAGACATTTATTGGCGCCTGACTCCCACTGCAAGTTCTTTTTGGATAAACCTGCTCACATGACTGTTGTCGTCTGTCAGTTACATTAGACCACACTAGACAGTTTGCCTAATAGTTCACGGGTATATGTTAGGTGAGTAAAATCATTTTTCTTTTTTTAAAAAAATATGTTTTTATTGATTTTTTAAAGAGGGAGGAAGGGAGAGGGATAGAGAGAGAGAAACATCAATCGGCTGCCTCCTGCATGCCCCCTACTGGGGATCGAGCCGAAACCCGGGGTTGGGCCTGACCAGGAATTGAACCAATGGCCTCTTTGTTCAAGGGTCAATGCTCAACCACTGAGCAACACCAGCTGGGCAAAATCATTTTTCTTTTAAAGTTAATTTCAGGCAAGTTTATGAAGACTGAATTTGACCTATAAGCTATTAATGAATTTCTGGTTCACAGAGCAAAATCATGTTAATTTTTTGCAAGCTCCAGACTTAAACTTTGACAAGTAAAGGAGCTTAGAGCCTCAGGTTACACACTCAGTTTAGGTGTTCTTATACTAGGGGGAGCAAGTCATGCAAATATAAACTAAGCAATCCTGAATCAATGCTCTCTATCACCAAATTAGGGAAATAGAAACTGTGATTAAATTCCCAAAGTAACCAAGTAACCCCAGTGTAGAAGAGACATCATCGGACATAATGAAATAGGCATTCCTCGAATTAAATTATAGTAGAATACATGCTGGAGAGCAGGGAGAAACTGTTTACTCATTTAATCACATCATATACAACTACAAACCTTTAGCACTGCAAATGACCCCAGAAAGAACTTGGCTTTGGAGATCTCAAACTAGTTAGAGCAACTGAACCCCTGTACCCGCACCACAATACATGATATAAAGCAGGTAGAAGAGGCACAGTTCCAACTGAAGTGGGGGAGGGTCCCAGGGCCTTCATTCCTCCCCCCATCACCATGGCAACTCAAGGCCAGCGCCATGGGAAAAGCAGTAAATCCGGTCTAACCTCTTATTGTAAACAAGATGAAACTGGTATCACCGAGGTGAGTTTTCCAAGGCTGCAAAGCTCATTCTTGGCAGAGTTCACCTTCCAGCTGTATCCTGATTCCCAATCTCACATTCATTCCTCTATATGACCGTTTTGCCTGATTTTATCTGACTGTATCACAAAGTCAAGCAAACTGGAAGCGGAGAACATCTTTCTCAGTTTGCATCTAGCCAATAATTTCCATGACATTTTTATTGTTCAACAGATACCTCACCTTAATTTATACCTTAAAAAATCCTAATGATAGCTTTTCCAAACCTGTAGTCCTCTTAGTTTCCTGTCCTTTCATTTAAACTTTCTTCCAGGCTTGTATTTAATTCTGGGGAAATAAACATATTTCCGCCTTTACAAGTGTGCTCAGAATGTTCTAGGCCTTGTGCTAAGTGCTTACACAGGTTACTTTGTTTACATCTCACAACTGTATGAAGTAGCTCTCATTTCTCCAGTACACAGCTAAGAGAAGGAAGACTAGTCCCACGTCTCCATATCTGGAGAGCCTGGATTTAGGCTGGTGTATCTGGTCAAAACCCAAGCTCATTGCACCTACAATACTTCCACCGAGTTGCCAGCCTTTTCTCCTGAGGCCCACACAGAAAGAGAATAAAGTAGGTCATGGCCCTTCCTTTCACATAAAGAAGGAGAACAATCCACATGGCACTTCCTTTTGTATATAGGAGAAAAAAAACCCCACAAAGTAAATATCAATAAAGTAACACTTCATACATATTCTGAATTGATATTACGTAAAATAATTTACACACGTTACCTCATAGCAGGCATACTTATGGAATGGCGAATGGAGTAGCTTCAGGGCAAAAGCAGATTTAAGGGAAGAAAAAGACAAAAGAAGATAGCAGTGTAAGTACATAGGAAACGTCCCTCTTCACAGTTCTCAAACAGCAGTTTCAACTGCCTGAAGTACTTGCTGCCCACCCCACCGAGATACTTGTTTTCATTGGGTAGCAGCGGCCACAGTGGACTCCGAGGGTATAAAGGAAGAGCAGGCAGTGCATTATTGCCTATTATTTTACTTCCCGTGGGTTCCCTGGAGGCCAGGAGATCTGAGGAGAATGTCTGGCTTCCTCCAGGCCAGCCCAGCAGCCCTGGGCATCCCCTGCAGGGCCAGCTCCTTCCCCACCCCCTTCTCTCGGTCCAGAGGACAGGAAGGGCTTGTCCAAGCAGAGCCCGGCAGGGAAAGCTCATCGTTCCATTGCAGAGAAGCTCTCCAGAGGGATACATGTAGGAAACACAATTCACACAGCCAGACATGGGAGCCGGGACTTCTGCATCCAGCTACGACATCCGAACCCATTTCCGAGAACCCCGCGGCTCTCGGCCTGCTCACTCCAGTAACCCACCAGCAGCTGATCCATTTTCCCTCTGCCTGCCTGCCTGCCATTTCTGCGGGAGGTCTCCTCAGAAGTCAGGGTGGAGGGAGGAAGCAAAGTGAGGTCCATTTTCCTGGGCGGGTGCTCCCCCGCACGCGGCCCGACACCATCCCTGCTTTCTCTCCTCCCGAGAAGCAAACTGGGAAGGGATCTGACTCATCGCCCTTCCCCAGCACCATCCACTGCGGTCCCAGCCGTGCCGAGGTCAGCACGCGGCCAGAACCAAGCTCAAAAGGACGAGGAAATTCAGGGACACTTACGGTCCTACCTTAGACACTCCGCTTGGAAACTCTAGGCAAAATATTTCCTCAGAAATTACATTAAAAAAAGAATTACTAAAAGAAATTCACCAGCATTATCAATCTACTCATCTCTTTAAATACAGACAGTTATTCAGAAAAACAATTACAAAAAAAGTATATAATGAGATTTCAGCTTTAAAGAAAAAAAAAGGTTTAATTCAGAACACATGTCCTAACACATGCTTCTCTAGTAACTTTTTCCCTCTTCAACTTCAGAAAGCACAGAAAGTTGAAGATGAACCATTAGTAACAGTTACAAGATGTTCAGAAAAACGTGATGACCTATAGAGTAAATAATTTTCTGCTCCTTGACCTTACTTTCTCTAACTTCTATAAAAATACACAACTCTCAACATCCATGTTCTTCTTTTCCCTTCTCTCCGTTGGAAGGACCTCTGCCAATAAAGGAAGAAATGATGCAGAAAAAGAGACTTGCAAGAGATTGCTCAGCAAGTGACACTGGGGTAAATGATTCAGAAATGAGACAAGCATGTGCTTAAACAAATTCAGATGCCTTCGGTGCCCTATAGTCTGTGACTCCCCGGTCATGAGCACTCTCAGGAGAGGAGATTTAGTGTTTTGGCCGAGGCACCCCCACAGCGGGGAAGGAAGGGGGGCCAGGAGCCCGCAGGGCCCAGGGGCAGCGCTTACCCGATGGAGTGGGACCTGCAGCCGGCGCAGCACAGGAGAGAAAGCAGGAGCAGTTAGCGCATCAGGATGCAGAGAAACACGCTGGCCCTGTCCCCTCTCCCAAGGGCCCCGAAGCAAACGGTAATTCCGCTCATCACACTTTGTGAGTCTACTGTCTTTTTAATGTGTCTTATTTCACCAGCCTGTTGTAAGTGGCGCTTCTATTATTGTCGTGGATACGTAACAATGGTGAAACTCTCTACTGAAATTATGTGTCTTTTCCAAAGAGTTCCTCTGCACTAGATCACGTGCAGTTTGAACAAATTCACCGAGAAGTACCAGAAAGATGACAATAGCGTAAAAATTATTCCAACAGCTTGCATTTCTTCAGAATACTTTCATAACTGTGACCTCATTTCAACTTCACAGGAAACATTTAGTTAGGTAGCTTTCAACAATGTTATTTTATGGGTGGAGAAGGAGACTGAGTAAGTCTGTGACTGGGCTAAGGGGACTTCGCTTAATGACAATCAGGTTAGAATGAGAATCTTAGCTTGGGAAATATTACTTATTTTTATAAAACATATAAATTAAATTCTAACATAGAGCTTTTCATTCAGTCATTAAAAGGCCAAATTTTAGGTTTTCAAAATTGGGACATATTAACTTGGAATTTTTTTTTTTTTTAAACTAGAGGTACTGTTTTTCTTCCCAGGTATCCGAATTTTGGTGGCAATCTTTTTGAACAAGTTTAGAAATTTGTTTTTCAGAATGCACAAATATATTTTATCCTATAACTAATAAAAATATAGGATAATATACTCTTAAACAAGAAAGGGATTCCAAGTAACATATGTATGGTAAAATTTTAAAATTCCCTCCCTTCCATGTTATAAATTGACAAATTAATTTGAACAACAAAAAAAAACTTATTAATTTTTCTCATTTAAGAATATTTATTAAAGGTAAGCAATTTTCAAATATGACTTTTATTTACATTACTTCTAGCATAATTTGAAACTAAAAATTCTTTGCAAAATTTGTTGCTTTCACAAGGACTTATCCTCGTTTATATAAAATGTTACATATTATAGTTAGAGAAAAATACGGCTCTGAAAAAATGGGTCTACAAAATAGCATAGGACCATGATCTGCATCTCCAGTAACATAGGCTATATTTCCCACTGTCTAGCCACCGTTCATAATGAAAATGTTGCATCGTCTACATAGGGTGATAATTAACAACACGTTGAGAACTCCTGGGAAGTAGGTTATTCCTTACACTACAACAAAGCCACACAGAAACAGGAGGAAAGGCAGTCAACACAGCCTTGATACTGTTCCCAACTAGTGTGCGAACAGGAGGATGTCAACATATTGCATATGTAAAATACGGTGTTTGTTCCTTACCACTTAGAAAAACGAGCAGAGCCTTTATAAAGTACAGAGTGGATTCTTTCCAGTTTCTGTCATACGGGCCACCTTGTCACTGAGAGAGTCACTTAGTAAAGATAAAAACTAGTATTTACTGAGTGCTGAATACATGGAAGGCTCTCTTCTACTGCTTTTAAAGTAACTCGGTGACGTTGTTACCCTTTATCCCCATTTCATAACTGACAAAACTCAGGTATTTGCGAGCTAAGTACATCTGGCTTCATCACCTGGGAGCCTGTCACTAATGCAGATTCCTAGACTCCACCCAAGACCTACTGAGGCACAACCTCAGAGAGTGCAATCTGGAAATATGTATTTTAAACAAGATTCAAGTCCCCTAAAGATGGAGAAACACTGAGGTCCTGGTGTTCAAGTGAAAGGTTTCACGAAAATAGGTAGAGAATGAATTTTATATACATGGCAAAATCTATTTTCTTGGATATAACAGATAATAAGGTCCTCCCTATTTAGGAAATTATTTAATTAGTGTAGATAAATGTTTTAATACCATTGAAATGATTGCAAGTTTTATATGTAATAAAATTAAGGTTAATTAAAATCCAGGATGTTTACCTGTTAATCACATGCTGCCTCTGAAGAATCTCAATGGCTTTCGTTATTGCATTATTAGTACAAATATTCAGATTAATGTACATGTACTCACTTAACTCTAGCCTCATGAATGGCAAGTTTTTAAGATGGTGCATTAATATTGGGCACAATCTAGCAAAATTTGAAGTAAAAATAACTTAAACACAAAGATATAAATATTTGCCTCCAGGTATCAAGGCTTCAGGGTAACAAAAAATTAATAGTTTAAGAATCCAGTGAAATAATACACACTAATCTTTTTAAAAGAAGAAAATGTAAAATGTACTTTAAAAGTTTTTAAAGAATGAATTGATTTCTAGAGAAAAAGGAAATTGATTGCTAAAGAAAAATCTCATAAGCATATCAGCTGAATTCAAAATAAACTATGATAGTTTAAACAAGCTAAAAACAGAGTAACAATTCTATATAAGATAACTCCTTAGTACATAATGTAAACAATAATGGTCAATATAGCAATGTTTTTCTGGTGACTATAGTGAGGACATTTGATTCTCAGTTCAAAATCTTGACATTCACCCTAATTTTATATGATAGTGAACTACTGAAAATAACCAAAATGTGCAAGGGGACTTCCAGCTATGCACTGAAAGATAATACAGCCACTAAAAATGACGGTGTAATTTTTTTACATATTCACAATATTGCTAAAGTGAAGAAAGAAAACTACCAGAAATATATCCCATATACTAGTATCTTTTTGGAATAAAATAATACATACGTTACGTATTTAGTATAGAAAAAATACTAGCTAGATATACATAAAACTGTAGCTACAACAGTTTATCAGAGCACATTCCACTGAATGCATATTTTAACTTACTGTTTAAATTACAATAATTAAAATTCAGTGTGTGCTGCATTCTTTTGAAATCCCCCCTCATGACTAGTGATTAAAGACATCCTCTATCTTCTGTTTTTACTAGGTCGGGTCCTAGTGGAAAAAGCATATTCGGGACTAGGCCTGCCACTAAGCTGACCTTCAGTTAGAAAATGTGCTAACATAATAATCTATCTAGTGACCAATCACAATCTGGCACATAATATTTTAATCCAATAAAAAATGAATATGCCAGGAAGAACAGCCATTCCCAGGTTCTCTCCCACAGTACCTCATGTCTCCAAACTTCTTGCTAATGGCCGTCCCCACGTTGCTGAAAGCAGCAGTTGCCTTCTGCCCTGCGTGACTCAGGGTTTCATGTGTCTTCTTATAGCTAGAAGTGAAACAGAACAATAGCTTATATATCATGATGGCCCATAAAACATTCACCGTCCATCTCGCTCTTGATGACTGTTTCTAGTCATTGCTTGGGAATGATGGGTTGGCTGCCACTCATCAGAGGGAAAGTCAGAACATTAAGTCTGAATTCAGGAAGAAAACACGTAGGCAAGCACAGAGCTGAATATGCGGATCTTTAATCAGAGTGGAGCTGTTCTCAGAGTAGAGAGTCATTCTTAAAGAACTGTATTTACTTTACGAAGAGACACTTGTCAGTGAAAGCAAGCTCTAAACATTGAAGATAACACAGAAATTTAAAAATGTTTATTTCAAAGAGAAATTTAAGTTTTTACTGTTAGTATGGGTAAATTAACCATAAAAAGGCCAGATATAAGCAGTATTTAACTTACTTTTTTAATACTTACATCGGAGATTAAGAAAGGCACATAATTTAAGATAACATAGTGACTTTTTCAAAACAGCTTTCGGAATATAGTACTGCAAAGATCTGCCTGTTCATAGCCTATGTCCCCACTAGACCGATCCCTTGAGGGCAAGGAAGCCATTCATCTTTGTGTCAGCAGCGTCTGGCAGGGGGTTACAGGGGAACTCAGTTAATACCAGATGAATAAATGGACGGTCAGAGAGGATGCTCCTCTGTGGCTGAGCGGGGAGTCGTGGCAGTAACAGAGAGGACGTGGGGGGTCACAGAGGTGCACAGACTTGAGAGGAGGCGATAAGTGACAAATAGAACAAGATGAGAAGATCGGACTGGGGTTTTGAGCATAGTGACAGGAAGAACAGTTGCTGTATCCACAGGTCTGAGAAATTTTTAAGAGCTATTAAAGCGGGAAACAAAAGACACCTAACCTGAGGGAATACAGAGAAATGAACAAGTTTTATACATCACTCCCCAATCGAAGTCAGGTGATCGTGCCGTCCCCTTTACACTTACACAGTGCTGCACGTCAGTTATATCTCTGCGAAACTGAAATCAACACCAAACAAAAGCATTTTGAACAGATTTTTTAAAAACTCCTTCATATAGTGCACATAGCATCTTCTTCCAATATACCCTGCTCCCAGGTAAGTGTCCCCAAAGCCGCCTGCTTAGTCTAGAGCGCTTGCATCTCTGGAACCTCCGAGAAGCCTTTTTAGTATATGAAATCAGTTGTGCAGAAATGTCCCTTGTCCCCCCACCCCTTCCGTCTCCCACAAGTCACACGGTCCTAAACGTGCTCGGTACCTTAAGGAAATGCTTCGCAGCACGCCCCTTGGATTTCCTTGGGGCTGGAACCACTCCTTTTGTTGGCGGGAAGGAATGAGTTTACAGTGTCGCAGCACCATATGCCATTTATTTACACAATGCCTGTTTTTCAGGAAGCGTAAAAATCATATTGTCTAGGTCATAAAACCAAACAAAATACCCACTTACTAAACAGAACATTTCCTAGTAAATATGGAAAGACCAAGAAAAATGTGGGTCACAGAAGAATCAGCGAGTAGGAGGGGATGTGTGTCTCTGGAGAGGGCTGTGTGAGTAGAATGGGAGGGGGGACTCCAGGCGCTCTGGGTCAAGCAGCAAATGAGAAGTAAGAAAATGAAAGAAAGGAGTAGCTTTTGGGATGTTTTCCTATTTTGTTTTCTGTGAAGGTACAAAAATACCACCTTATTTAACTTATAATTTTATTTTTACATTTTACTACATGACTTTGGGTTTTAATTATGGGGAAAATTTTTCTGATTACATGAAACCATGGAATTTCAGGAAGTTTACATATGAAATAAAATATTAACATCTAACTTGTTAGTAGTGACAAGGCAGTTAAAATAGTACTAAATGTTAATGATCAAAAATAAAAACATCAGTCATTATTGCAAGATTTGGGTGAGGTGTGATCTTGAAATGATATTGCTGAGAACTCTTAGGAAGAAATGGGCCACTAAATAGGTTCCCAGAGCAGTGTCCCGAACACTGGGATTAACCGGGCTTAGAAACAGAAAGATTTGAATGTAGTGGTTTCATCCTTAAAGTCAAAAGGGGAAAGCATGTCATCTTCTAAAATGTTTTATCTTAAAGCATTTTTCTACATACAAAAAGAAGAAAAAAAATTAAAAATTCAACAATCTTTTTACAAGATACTTTATAGCGTAAATATCTTTTCTATCATGGGATTTAAAAGCAAGAATTACTTTAATGATTGCACATGCAGCATTTTACCAAAGTTACAAGAAATATTTAGGCTCATTTTTTCCCCAAAGGTTCTCTAAACATGTTGTCAAAACACAGATTTACCTCTTGAATCTAGAAAAAAAGAATCTACTTCGTGCCTTGTGTGATGAGATGAAGCCGAAAGGTAAGAAGAAAGAGCAACTAACTGTGAGATCAGCTCCGTGCGGCCTTTAGAAGTAGGTCTTTAATCGTTACTGCCACTTCTGAACTCAATGGAGCTGCAACAGGCTCCTCATGAAAAGACAATAATCCTTACTGACCATAATGGCCTGGAAGTCTTAGAAGCACACAATCAAAGAGTAAATAAGTCATAAGCTAAATGGCAATTTTCAAGCACTGTGCATTTTTAAAATAATGCTGAATGTTAAAGTTTCGCTCCTCTTTATAAAGGATAAAGTTATTACACTTTCCAAAAAGATGGCATGGTCTGAATTCCTTTCCAAAAACCTTCTCCCTTTTGGAGACCTACCTACCGTTTGGTCTGTGGTACAACTCAGAGGGGTTTATTAATTAGTAGGAGAATCTCATGGGTTAGCAAAGGCTGCACACTTATTAAAATGAAGCATATCGGATTAGATGGGCCACCACAATGCTGCATTTCTGTATCCCCGCTCCCTTTCTCTACAGAGAGATTCAATATCTCCTCCTGTGGCCTCCCCACAGCTAGACCCCAAAGCCACACACATCCCTCATGCCTCCTTGAAGCCTAAAGATGACCTAAGAAAGCAGTAGAAATTGTTAAAAAAAAAAGGATAGGGGAATATTTTGTGTCTGCTCTTAGATTCTCTTAAATCAAGGCATGTGAAAAACTGACAAAAACAAGAGCAATAACTAACACTGGACACAGGCTGTCTCTTGACCTGCTATTGTACAGTTATCTTTCTATAAAGGAGATAATTTCAGTCTGCTCTGTAATTATTCCTGCTCATCCAGTCCTATTCCAATTTGAATCCTACCACAGACTAAAATATGCCAAGATCTTTCATTACCATACCACAGATTTTCTTTTCATTATAAATCAACTAAATAGGTCATGATTGCCTAATCAGTATGCACAGTATTGCCTCTGGTAGTCACCAGCAATTCTCTGACAGCTAAAATTCTTTTCAGTGCTTTAAAATCTAATTCTACCCAACCCAACCCCACCCAAATTTCCTCACACCAAAATTTTCATTATATGAGGTGTAGAGCTTGTCATGGAATGGGTATCATGGACACTAATAGCTGGGATTTAATTAATTAATGGAGAAAACAGATCCCGTTATCCCCCCAACCCCAACATGTGATTAAGACTTTTTTTCCCTTCCTTCAGCAGCCAAAGAAAAAGGGTAGGAGGAAGACAAGACGCTTTCCCAAAATGATGCTGTTGATAGGTGAATGCCTCCCTCTTAAGAGAGAGATTGATTCTTTCTTACAAAGCAAAATTCACATCATTCCTAAAGGTGAGTGAATCCATACTCCTCTGTATTTATTAAGTAATCTCTGAGGAAATGTCATCTACTCCTATAGCTTTCAAGACATTGGTAAGCAGAGAGCTCCAGAATGTCCATCTCTGTCTCTGACTTTTCCTCCAAGCTGTCCTCTCGGTATACAAACTCGTTTGTCTACTGGGCATTTCACACTTCACAGAGTCAAAACAGTTCTTGGGTCTCCTCACCAGATCTGCCTCAGTCTTTCTTAAAAAAGTGAACTTGCCTACAAAGTGTCAGACACTGTCCTATGTTCTGCACAAATATGAACTCATCGAATCCTCGCTTCCTATGAAATAGGTACTAATATGATCTCAATCCGCAGATGCAGGGAGGCCTAAATTTCAACCCAAGCCTCTGGAGTCCACAGCGCATGGGCCTAACCACAATGCTCCACTCCCACGGCAGTCAGCAGTGCCCACACCACCCAGGAGCCCAAACCAAAGACTGAAGAGTTACATTTGCCCCCTCTGTTTCCCTCACCCCCCACCTCCCAACCACTAGGAAATCCCACTGGCCTGACCTCTAAATCCTGTCCCCTCCCTGTCCACGACTCTCCCTCAGCACCATCCCCGCCTGGGCTACGGCAATAGTCTCATAAATGACTTTCAGGTTTCCTCGCCTGCCTCGCCACAGTCTGTATTACACAAGTAACTGGAGTGATCTTTCTGAAAGAAAATCTTTCTTGGAAGGAAATCCCCACCCGTCCCCTGGCCCGGGAGGCCCCAGAGGCTCTGATCTCCTCTCCACATCACTACACTCCAGACAGGGCACTTCCTTGGGGTTCCAGAAACCTGTAAACGTTGTTCTGGCTTCAGGGTGTTTGCAGAAACTTTTGCCTCTGCCTGAAAGCCCTTCCTCAGATCATCAGAGGATCTTTCTCACCATTCAAGTCTCAGCTCGAAGTACCCTCCCAGGACAGGATTTCCCTGCCCGGGACCCAGCCACAGCAGCTTCTCCCCAGCCTCGGTCTCCTCCTCTAGAACACCCCCCTCCGATATTTTCATTACAGCACTTCCTGATATTTCCTTATTTGTGATTTTGTTACTTGTTTCTTGCTCTTTCCTTTCCACACAGGNCACTTCCTGATATTTCCTTATTTGTGATTTTGTTACTTGTTTCTTGCTCTCTTTCCTTTGCACACAGAGTAGGAACTTTGTCCATCTTGCTGGAGCCTATATCCTGTGGGTTTAGATTAGCCTCTGGGTAACAGTACCTAAGAGTAGACACTCATTAAAGTTGTATAAATGAACTGTCACGACCCCTTTAATGGCTTTCCATTGCCTGTGGATAAAGAATAACCCTACTACAGATGCCACAAGGACACTTCTCCCTGCCATCTCAACAGTAAGTAACCGGCTGCTTTCCTGCGTGAGGGGCCTCCTCTCCTGTGGACCTTCACCAGGGCGCCTCCCTCAGGACGCTCCTCCTGCCCGAGGCTTGAAAATTCCGGCTCATCCTTCAGAGCTCTGCTTAAACACCCTCGGAAGCCTTCCCTGGGCCCCAGCAAGGTTCAGTCTCCTGCTTTCCAACCCAACAATACCCTGTATTTCACACTTATCTTTTAACTGGTAATTAATACTAACTTATAAGATAAACAAAAACAACACTCCATTTTCCTAACTAGACTAAAAACTCCGTACACCAAAGAATAAATCTATTCTATTCATTCAACAAAAACTTGATGCTAAGTAGGATGCCTGACTATAAAACCAATTTGTTTTTCAAACATGGGAAAAATACAAACTACATATTCCCCTGTGTGAAAAGCCTTCCTGGAACTTGCCTGCTCCAATTCCCTGTCCCCGCAGGACTATGAGTCTCTCCCCTCACTGGCCCACCTCCCACCCTGTCCCCAAGGGTATACTCGAGGCACCCTCTGCCCATCTCCCGGCTCCCTCCCTCCCTTCAGCAACAGAATAGCCCGGCCTTCCACTTGGTTAGCTTATCCCTGCAGTGTGGTTAGGGGGGCCAAGCAGAAAGGTCCAGGCTGGTCCTTCCACCCAGAAGGAGGTTCAGGTCTGTGCGACATGAAGACTGCAGATGTGGCTTAAATACAGAGGTGACCAGACCCGAGGAATTGGAGATTGTTCCGGCTACGCTGTCAGGGCCACTAATTGGTATAGGTCACCAAAGTGCATACATAAGCTAAACTACTATCAGGTCAGCTCATTTAATTTAGTGCCTAAAATCCAGCTATTCTTGTTAGGGGATTGTTCATGTGGCGTCGTGATACGTATTTAAAATTTATGAACTTCAATGTGTGGTGTCTTATCTTCTATAATGGTCCTCATCAGGTTGAGGAAGGTTGGTTAGCCTCTGCAGGTAAAGTGCTGGGCTCCCTGGCTCCATCCTGCCCTACTCTGTGCCCTGAGCCTGTTGGGATGAGCCCTGAGGGGACACAAGCCTAGAAGCCTATAGGGTTGCTAGGCTGTTATAGGGGGAGAGAACATTCTCCTGGAAACTAAAGGAACCGCAGTGGGGAAATAGCAAACTCCTTTTAGATCCAACTCCTCAAACAAAGGGCACCTTCATGAAGGAACAAAAGGTCTTAGACCTTAGTCCTCAGGAGTCAGTGGACAAAGTTGGCCCCAAGAAAAACTGAAATAACTGCCATCTATTCAATACTGGTACCTCTTCCTACTACCAGGCCTCTCCATGTCCACTTACAATTTTATGAGGAAACATAAAGAAAAAATATACATATTTAACAAATGCTTAAAATATATGATAAAGAGAAAACATTTTTAAATATGCAATCCCATAAAAGTGGTCTAAGTGAAAATAGAATTTTAGTGAACGAAGTTTAATTTCATAAAGCTATTTTATGGAGTCTGCTTCACATGCAACATTTTTAATGATTATTGAGGTTTTTTCTACTTTTAGAGAAAGTATTTTTTTCTTGCCACAGTACCAAATCGGCCTTGTAGAAAAAGAAATCGAGAAGTGGCAAGACGGCAAGCTAAGCAATTCGTTAATATTCTGCGAATTACTTACGCAGTCGTGGTCTGCATGTCATGCCAGCTCTTGCTGAAGTTCTGTTTTAATTCATTCATCAGGTTCATGCCAAGTTTTTGTTTTATCTCAACCAGATGCCTTTCTTTCGCTGATAAAACTTGTCGTAATGTTGTAATTTCGTCTTCTAGCTACAAGTAGGAGGGAAAAAGTGGGGAAAGATGTCAGACCAGCTAAAACATACACCTGCCAGAGTCTCTGTGTCCAAATCAGCCTTTGCACTCTCTAGTCTACACAGCCCACATTATGCTACAACAATCACACACCCTGCAGAAATGACAGGTTAATATACTGAGAAATAGAAATAGATTTTTCAGTTGTAATGACTATAAAAGTAACCACTGCTCCTTGTGAAAAATTTATTTCTACAGCAAAATAGAAACAAGAAAATAAAAATCACCTGAGTAATCTCCTGGGAAAGAGCCATCACTTAAATTTTTTGTTTCTAATCTTCCAAACATTTTTCTAAAACTGTACACAGACATAATTTTTGAACAAAAAAATTGGTTTTGTATTGTAGGCCTTATTTTATAAACAACTGCTTTTCAAGAGTCACTAGTCAGTGTTGCTTGTTTATTTTTGGTCATGACACACAGCTGCATCAGTGCAGACACGGACCTAGCAGACTGATTTTGCCAAGCTAGTACTTTAGGAACAAGAGAGGAGGGGATGCATGTAAAGGAGAGGTTTGTGCTGTTTTTTCTTTTTAATAATTTTATTGAGATGTAATTATCATACAATAAACTGCACACATTTAAAGTGTACAAAATGGAGGTTTTCACATATGTATACTCCTGTGAAGTCATCATCACAATCAAGATAGTGAACATATCAATTCATCACCTTCAGAAGTTTTCTAAGTCCTTGTTACATTGTCAATGGTTCTTCCCTTTTTATGGCAGAGTAGTATTCCATCGCATGGATATACCACAGTTTTTTTAATCTCTTCACCTATTGAAGGACATTTGGGTTTGGCTAATGCAAATAAAGCTTCTATGAACATTCATGTACAAGGCTCTGTATGGACAAGTTTCCTCCTTCAGCATTATAAAATTGCTCTTGCAGATGTAATTTCTAACAAAGAGTTCTGTAAAACACCTAGATTTTAGAGGTGTTGCTATGAAAATAAATTTGAACCTTCACAAAGTCTTTGATTCTAATTGATTGCTGTATGTTATAATGTATTGCCCTGGTAGTATTGCTTAAATTTACATCTTTATTTCCTGAAAAGTATAAATACCTGTGACTTTCTTTGTGAAGCCAGAAGAGAATCATTAGGATTCCCTTAGTATCTCACATCCATGGAGGTAGTAAAAGCTTAACACTTTACTATTTTTCTTACTTTAAAAAATATGGAGCAGCTGTGTCTCATTTACATTCAAAGTATCACCCTACTTCTGAGCACGAAGTACGTCACTAATTCCATCAGTCATCTTGCAAACGTGTTGCGTGGGTCACCAGAGGCATAGCACCTCAAGAAAGGCAGCTAAGTTTGCAAAAATTCACCTTTTTATGAATGTAAGAAAGATTTTGTCCCAATGGTGGACAGACAGGAATAGTGTTGTGAACATTCATATACACAAATAATAAGCAAAACAGGCAGAAATACTGAAGCAGAAGCATCTTCAATACTATAGTAGAAAATAACAACAGTATCTTGGGTTTTTAATAAAATCAGTAAAATGTCATAATTTAACATTATTTTTTTTTTTTACATGAATGGAACATTTATTTTTATGCTCATGAAAATCTTCTAAAACGAATTATACTTTCCACAAACACATTATGATCAATAGGGCCCTGTCTTTTCTTGATGAACAAGTCTTCAGCATGCAAACGTGTACTCTACTGCGAAAGGGCTATGCTCAGAGACCACTAAAGGGGATAATGCTTTTAGAGTCTCCACTGAATGAGAACACACTGTTATTTTAAAAAGTAAACCCTTTTATTCTTTTGCTACCAGGCTATATTCCCCCTTTGTCAATGTGTCTTCCTGCATTTAATCTGCCTAAGAATTCTCCAGGTTGATTCTCTAGCTCTTACCAAAGAAAATGCGTTGGCTACAAGTCAGCTTTTTGTTCTGTATTAGAAAGACCTTTTTGCTTTCTTTTGGATAAGTAGTATGTTTCGAGTGTCTGATATTATTGGGAGTCTGTTTTTTTATTTTTATACATCAGGTATGACTATAGTTTCCACTGTGTAATAAGAATAATTAGAAAATTATTAACTTGCAGAAAGAAATTACAGATGTAGAGAAAGAGGTTTAATCATCTTGATATTCTCAACTCCTATCTATGGAATCCCAGAAATTTATTCAAAATTGGGGTGCTGTGAAATATTTATTAGTTATATGGGGCGAGTGAGTAAAAGATTCATAGTTTTCTAATGAAATTCTTTTTTTAAAAATATATCTTTATTGATTTCAGAGAGAGGAAGGGAGAGGGAGAGGGCAAGATAGAAACATCAATGATGAGAGTCATTGATCGGCTGCCTCCTGCACGCCCCATGCTGGGGGTCAAACCCGAAACCTGGGCATGAGCCCTGACGGAGAATCGAACCACGATCTCCTGGATCCTAGGTCGATGCTCAGCCCGAGCCACGCTAGCTGGGCTCTTATGAAATTCTTGATCCCCAAATAGTGAGAAACATTGAAGTGCCCAATTTACCAAATATCATTCTAAAGAAAGAAATATAAAGTCCCACACCTAATATTTTTTAAAAAAAATCAATGCACATGTTAAAAAGCATTTGTGGGAAAGAGACTTCTAATGATGGAGACCTGAACTCATTTATTCAGTTGGGTCTATTCTCAGGTTCTATAGTAAAATTCCCTTCGTTTCAGTAAAATTTAAGACTCACTGGGCCTGGGGCATACAGCTGTGCCCACGGGAGCCGCAATGCTACCTTTGGCAAGATGATGCAATGCTTCCTCATTTCTGAGGAATCCAGAAATAAGAGACAGCAAGCATGGAGGCTAACGCATTCAGGGGAGGAAAACACGCATCCTGGTAACTTGAACACAGTGATGGGAGTCTGGTGTTATTTTCAGTTTCTCCTGACATCGCTGAGGCCTCTGCACATCTATTCTGTGCATTCGTTCCCTCTGTCTCCCTGTTTAAATAAAGTTGCTCAATATTTCTGTGCTACTAACATCCTACTCCCACTTTCATTTCACTAAGCTGCATTTTATGCTCAGTATTCTATAACGTGACTTGGCCTTTGGAAAGGAGGAAGTGTTGGCATTAGTACTGTGAATCTGTGCTATATACAATCAAAAACGGCCAATGTGCCCTTGAAAAAATGACTTAAGAAAAATGGGTATTAATAGGACTAGGAAAAATACCAGACAGTGTTACCAAGTAGGCAGAACCTATTTTCAGGCTCCCTCCACCCTCTCTGGGCTCTCCTCTCTTCCTTGGGTGTGTGGTTCCCCAGGAAGAACACATAGCGCCCTCACGTTCTTAGGCTTACAGACTCAGTTCCTTCCTTCAAAACCTTTATTCTTTCTGGACTAAGCTAGTGAGCAGCTGAAGTGTTAGGAATGAGGTGTACTGGAAGCTTATTAATGTGGCCAAATAAGGCAGGGATTTCTGAAAGCACTGCTGGTTATTTATATTCATGGAGTAACACAGGCTTACTTTTTCTTGATTATAAAAGTAATACATACTCACTCTTGAACATTTAGAAAATATCGAACACACAAAAATACATTGACATATGTATATATGCATAACCCAGTAATCCCAGAACCCAGAAAAATCAAGTCATTTTATAAAAGCTGTCCTGTTACAGAGGTTGTATCTGAACTTAAACTTGCACTGTTATATGAAGGAGTTAAATTTTAACAGAGAATCAGTAAGCTCTCACTGGTCTACAGAATATAACTTTTGGACACTACAACTGACATGAACAGGTCATGAACCAGAATTCTAGGCCTTAAGAAAATGTGGAGCTGGTACATTCTCAGTGAAGTTGACTTTGGTCGGTGCACTCTGGAATGTGGGGCCAATCTGAAGTAAACTGAGTGGTTCTGGATCAGTGGCCACAGACAAACCCAGCTAAAGAAGCAGGCTATTCGATTTGAAGTATTGTGCTTACAAAAATGATTTATGCTCTACCAGAGAAACAAGCTGCTCTTCTATTTTATAATGAAGTTATTTTAGGGTGTGTCTTGTGAAAGCACCTGAAAAACCTTCAATATTATTATGAACTGTCATGAACACACACTATCAGGCCATGAGAGCTTGAGGAGTCTGGAGTGGACAAAGGGGGCTGAGCGGCAGGTGGAGCTCAGAGCTCTGTCCCCAGCCTGCAGAAGAGGCCAGGGCAAGGGGCAAAGCCTTGCTTCCGATGGACCAGGAGCTCCCGGCCCTCTGAGCCTGGGATTGAGAATGGGGAGGGGATGGATGCTGGCTTCACCCCTGTTGCCCTGCTGCTTATTGTACTTGGGGGGCTCCCTGTGTCCAGCCCTCTCCTCCTGTAACGTAACCAACCCTTAGCAAAGTATTTAAGGGTTAGTAGGTGCTGCAAACAAAAGGCTTCAACAAAGATTTGTATTCACAATAAGCCAGCCATCCTCCTCACCTCTAAGTCTAGATGTCCCAACAACTACCTAAGAGCTAATGAAGCCTATGTTCATCACAGCTTTCCTCTCGGTCCCCAGAGCTTTAGCCTTCTGCACAGAACACAACTCAATAAATCCAGTTGCTTTATGACTGACTTTTCATTACAAAACTAAGTCATTTCCAAGTGTTTGTTGAGCTAAGTTGCTGACCTAAAACAAGAACTGCTCTGGAAGAGCATCTTGTACTTGCACCAAGGTCTTGAAAGAATTCCACCAGGTTTGTACGTGGTTTATCCTTCCCATGGTATTTTGATAATAAAAGAGTAAGAGATGCGTATTTACAACTAATTATCATCGTTGCTTAAGCAGTACAACCATTCATTTTCATACTGTAGCCAACAGATAATTGACAAGCATTACAAAATACCCCCTTAAATAAAATCACCTTGCAATATATCATTTATTAAATTTATTGAACGAAATATAACAACTGTAATACGGATTTATACTGAATTAATAGTAACTCTCAAGATCCAGAGATACACATAACAACAAGGCTACTAAGCATACCTGAACTAATTCTGCCTTTAGCTCCTCTCTTTCCTCCTCAGAGAGCATGCTAGAGAAGTCAGCACTGGCTACTGCATCTTCATCTCTTCCTCGCAATGGTTCAGTCTCCAACAAACCTTTAGGCAAGATTGATAAAACATAATGTAATTTTAAAAATGAACAAATAAACAAAACAAAAACAGACTCATAGAAACAGAGACCAAAGAGCTGGTTGTCAGAGGGGAGGGGGAGGGGAACTGGTGAAAAAGTGAAGGGAAATATAGTCAATAATACTGTGATAAGTTTGCTAACGTGATCACATTATAAGGTATGAAAATGTCCATTCACTATATTGTACACCTGTAAATAATAAAAATAATATAATATTGTGTACCAATTATACTTAAATAAAAAATGTTAAAGTACAGCCTAGGGAATATAGTCAATAATAATGCAATAACTATGTATGTTGCCAGGTGGGTACTAGAATTATCTATCCCAGGATCACTTTGTAAATTGTATAATTGTCTAACCACTATGCTGTACCCCTGAAACTAATATGTCAACTGTAATTGAAAAAGATAAAAAAATTAAAAATTTGTAAGTTTTTAAAAAATGTTAAAAATGGATTTAGCCAACTTGTATTTCCATAGTTTGAAGGACTAGATACACTTACCCTCCTACTAAAAAAAAAACAACCTAAAAATTTCTGAAAAAAGTCTTTCTAAATGTGGCATAAGCTTCCAAGAAAGTAAACAATACTAAGTAGCCAAAAACCTAAGGGAAAGTGGGAACCCAGAGATGTAAACAAAATGTTGTCATTAGTTCTCCTTTTGCTACGAAGATGAATTCCAGCTTTGGTTTTCACTGTCTCATGGGGCTCCGGGGACAGAGACTAAAGTCCAGGGCCACCCAAGGAGAGGAGTTTAAGGTGAGGCCCTTACATAAATCTGTCTCCACAGGGTTACACCCTGAGTTAGGTGAACTGGAAATAAATACTTGTGCTCCCCACAGGGTCCTGCAAGGCAGACCCCGGCCTTGACACTCAGCACAAATGGACAGACCAGAAGATTCTTCCCTGAGAATTCATAACCCTGAGTGGGACCTGCAACATGAATGGCCCCTACCTGGGTGGTCCAAAGCAACCTCGAGACAAGAATTCAGAGCATTAAGCCCTTTTTGCACTTTGGATGTGGTAACGGGCAGATATGGAATCTGGAGCAGCTGCAGCCGTGAGGAAACATCACAGACGTACTGATTCTGGCAGAGGGAAAATGGGAAGTGCCTGGGCTCTTTATGACATCCTTGCGCCACAGACTTACCCGGCACAGTTCAACTTTAGTTATGCGAGAGAAATGCCTTATTATTTAAAAAGATAATAAAGAAGTTTCCTAATGGAATCCCTCAATATCTGGCCAACTCAAATGCATATGTTCTCTGGAGGGCCCAGGAGACAGGCCCACTCATATGCGAAAGCTTCATTTATGAGGGGTTATGACAGAGCTGGCATTTATGCATCTGTGCGGAGAGGAAGGTTGGTAATAAGTTGTCTTGGTACAAATAGCTATCTATATAGAAAAAATAAAATTGGACACCTTTATCATTCAGAAAAATCAAACTATAGATGTTATAGAAGACAGTATAGGAATTTACATTTATGAAACTCTAGGTAGGAAGGGATTTCTTAAATTAGACACAAAAAAGGGCGACTATGAAAGAAAAAATGAGCAAGATTAAAAATGTCTCTTTATCAAGCACATTATGTGGAAAATGAAAAGACAAGCCACTAATTGGAAGAAGATATCTCCTACATGTACAACTATCAAAAAATTAGTTCCCAGAATATACAAAATCTTTACGAACAATTTAAAAAATGTTAATAACCCAATAGAAAAAAATGGCCCCAAGGACCCAAAAGAGTCTATATAGGGAGAAATCACAACTGGTTAATAAACCCAAGAAAACAAGCTCAACTTCACTGATGTTCAGGGAAATACACATTAAATCATTTCACACCCACTTGATTAGCAGTAAGTTAAAAGTCTGACATTATTGAGAGTTTGTAACTACGTGGGGGATGGAAAGCCTCAACACTGGTGACAAGAATATAGGTAGATACAAATAACTGGGAAAATAATTAACATTATTTAATAAGGTTGAACATTTAAACACCCTACAATCCAGCAATTCCACAACATCAGAGGTCATTAATAAGAACTTCCATGGTAGTATTTTTATTCAATAAAACAGTTAAAATATATTTTGTCAAAAGTCAAGAGAGAAAAGTAAATAATTATCCTACTAAATCAGAACATTCTAGTTAAAGAGGGTAAAAATATGGCCCGATCTTCAAAGTTCTTCTGAAGCTGGCCTCCCTCTTGAGTCCACTAGACCCACATCTTTTTGTCTGAATCAACGGTGTACCACCAGCACCTTGTATTACTGCTGATACCCTAGCTGGGATATAGACTTGTTTTAATAAAGGTAACAAATACCCACAGATCTGACTCTAACGCAGGAATTGTGCCTTTCCATGAGCAGATGACATCTTTGGAAGCAGGTCTGTCTTAGAGAACTTGTCAAATGCTGCCATATTCCTGCTTTCACTATACCTACAATTGGCCAGTGGTGACTCACTTAAATCCCACATGTGGAGCTAAATGACACAACAAACGGAACCAGATGCAACTGAGAAGTCACTGTGGCTGGTCCCAGCTTTGCTGATGAGGACCTTCTCTCATGGAACCTGGATTCAGGGTCTGGCTCAGTCACAGGTTGTTGGGCTCTCACTTAGACCAGTCTGATTCCAAAGCTTATACTCTTCCCTGCCTTAAAACCATTTAAAAAATAGTAAACAAAAAATATTGCAAAGTAAAAATCAAAAGGTGAGTTTTGAATTAGAGTGCCTCCTTTAGCTTTGAAACAAAATCACTCATTGGCACCAACACACTTCTAATGCACCCCATCAANTGATTCCAAAGCTTATACTCTTCCCTGCCTTAAAACCATTTAAAAAATAGTAAACAAAAAATATTGCAAAGTAAAAATCAAAAGGTGAGTTTTGAATTAGAGTGCCTCCTTTAGCTTTGAAACAAAATCACTCATTGGCACCAACACACTTCTAATGCACCCCATGGCTTCATGCACATGACTGAGACACTACAGACAGCTGTGAGTTAAAATGATTACAAACTATGCTTTCAGATGAGTGGCCATGTTCTGCATTGTTAGGAAATATATAAAAGTTACAGAACTCTTTTAAATAGCAAAATAATCTTGCATCTATATGAATGAGAACCATATTAAGGGATTAACAAATAAATTTATCTGTCTAACCAAGCACAGGAAGAAAAGCATATGTTTTCAAAAAGAATACAAAATTATCCCAGGACATCATAAAAGAAAGGATGCAATGTAGCTTAAATGAAAATTTACCATGTTTTAAATAATAAATTTAAGATTGTAATATTTATTACTTAATTATATTTTCTTTATGATGTTTGGTAAAAATAACTTTAGGCAAACATAAAATTTCAAAATATCTCCATTTATCCCTCAAGGGAAAAACTACTGAGCTAATCTCATTAATGTTGGATTTACAATTATCTTCAAGTGCACACAAATTGTATACATGTTTAATTCTAGGAGGGTAGAAATTAAAGATATAAAACAAATTTCTTTATGAGAATCCTTTCTACACATTTAATAAACCTACCACAAAAACCTAAATATCATTTCTTATGGACCTCCATTATGAACTCTTTTCATTCATTTACCAATAACTTGTACCTGGTCTATTATTGCATAGTAGATAGAGCTTTTCATGTATTTTTCTCTGCATTTTGGCCGAGGCCTGCTAAAAACAATACAGTGAGAGCTTACCACCCCTACATCCTCGAGCCAAGGCTT